CATTTAAGACAATCTAAAATTTAAAAGCTCTTTTTAGGATTTGACTGAGAAATCAGTACTTTTAGTACAGTATATAGCCAGATGTCTGATGGATTTCTTTTAATAATTCATGTAAACGAGGTCATGCTCAAACTTAATAAGGAAGCCTTTCTACTTTTTTATATATATTTTATTGTTAGGGGAATAAAGCCTGTTAGAGATAAATGAAAAACTGATGTAGTTAGTGAAATAAACTGAACTTTGTGGATGACTTTGGTGTGACACAAGATTAAAAAAACAACAACTCAGTATTTCTATAATTGTCTGTTTTTGTGTGTTTCACTAAGATTTCAATGCAGCAAATAAACAAAGTGATTAACACAAAGATTTGTATTTCTCTTACTGCTTTTTTTTCTCTTGAATGCAGACATCGGGTTAAGTMTTTTTAAATGCAGGGCTTTTATTTTGTTCCTCATCCAGTTGAGAACCTCTGCTGTTCAATGCTACTGTCGCTGTTGTCTGTCATTTCTTTTTGACTTGTTCTCTACTGTACAGTGTTGTTCAACTGGTGAAACGCCACTAGCCAGAGACAAAGTCCATGTCTGCTTCTTACACACATGAACAAAAGTGATTCTGATCCTGATTAGGCTCCAGGGATGTTGGGCATGTAATAGAAAGCATCAGGAACAAGAGGCAATGAAATGGCAACACTTTTAAGATTAAACAAGATATTCAAAAAGGATAAAAAAAGAAGTGAACACAGAAACCTGGTGAACAAACAATCAAATGAATGAATGTATAAAACTCTCTCCTAGCTTCTTTATTTTATAGTTATCTACCAATATTTAAGTGTGAAAATTGTCCAAGTTTTTTTTTGTTACAAATAAACCTCATTACAAAATAGCGCACATTAGTTATTTATTAGTTTACATTAAGTCATATTCAGTTTCACACTGTGAGTTTACTCCAGTGAATAATTAAAGTGAAAACTATTGCTGTCAGATTAGCCAGACAACTTTAAAAATAATAAGAATTAGGTTCAGAGCTGAGYAAACTAAGTTTAATTTTAAAGTGAGTTACCTAAAAAAAATCAAGAGGAAGTTTGTTGTAAATGCATGTATTGCTCTGTTTTGTTATGAATGCTGTATTTTTTTATCTTTGGTTTAATAGGAAAAAATACCCATTAAAGTATTCTATCTCTAGTAATCATGATATAAAGGGCCCATCTTCACGACTTGAAAAAAAAAAAAAACATCTTTAGTAATTACTTTTACAGTCTTTATTCTGGTTGCATATTTTCTAATCTTAAAAGCGTGGCYGGCCCAATAAACCAATTTAGCACCAAAAATTCCAGGTGGTGTCCCTTGTGCGATTTTCAAGCTGTCTAAATCAGTTATATTATTTTTACATGTAGAAAAGGTTGTTCTGTTAAAATACAATAGTAATTCTTTGAAACAGAATACCAGAAGTCTACCTCCTACCTGCAAACATCTGCTGACAACAATGAGGAACACCTGTTTATGTTAATGAGCAGCTGCGAACTGCAGATTTTCTTTTGGGGGGGGGGGGKGATACTCCCCTGGGCAATTTTGCAAATGATCTACTCAAAAACTATGAATTTTCCAGCCATTTGAAGAGCATTTTACTAAATTCCATGGAGTAATAAAACTGTATAATATCAGTAGAACACTAAAAACCAGAGTTTAACCTGAACTTTACCTGAAAATGTAACTGAAACTTCCATTATCCTTATATTATTATTATTATTTGTTTTATTTACATACTGAGCACCGGCAGTTAATCTATAACAGTGGTTCTCAAACTTTTTGTGTCTGGGGACCCCTTACAAGGGTGAAAAAATTCCAGGGCCCTCCTCATGAACCCTATGCAGTTAATGTAAAAATAATTTACTGTTATTTTAACCCCTAAATGCCATGGTAATATTATTTTTTGTCTGGTTTAGTACAGTTTAGTATAGTATAGTAGTAATTTGTTTTATTAGTGCATTATTCCCCATATGCATTTTTTTAAAATAAGAACCAAATTAACAATTTGTAGAATTTTTTTGAGGACCCCCAAGGCACAGCTCGCGGACCCCTGGGGATCCTGGGCCCCCAGTTTGAGAACATATGGTCTATAATAATTTTATTATGAAATATCCTCTGCACCTTGTGACACCTCATGTAGTAACAATGAAGGCTGAGAAATCCACGGAACTGTCATAAAAATAAATGAACTCTGATAAAAAAGTTATAATTTTTTTTGTCGGCACCCCCTGTGCCTGTACCACTGGCCAGCTCTGTTAGAAGCTAGAAACTAGAAAAAAAAAGTTGCCATGTATGGACATTACGTTGCGTTTTTGTATGATCAGCACACGCTGAATGTGTGTTAAGAGAAACTTTCCACTAGAGGGCAGTGTTACTACACATGCAGCTGTGTGAGCTATAGGAG